GCCCCAATCACTCACTGTCAGTGGTGCGAGCATGGCTGGCACTGTCAACATGTGGAAGTGGCAGTGGCAGGAGCAGGACTGCTGGCAAACAGTGTTCCAGGGCTGTGGCAGGAGGGGCCAGACTGGGGAGCAAAAAAAGGGCTGAGACCCACCCCTGTGCCCACCACAGTCTCGTGGTTCATAGTTCCTTTCAAGGTGCACAAATTTGTGCATTGGGCCTGTAGTATGGTATAATATCGATATTCTAAAAACTTCAAATAGAATTATTCTAAAATGTTATTTAAATCTAAGATTCTAGTGACAAGAAGTATCACTTATTTAAAATTGCTAGAGTTTCTTTATTTTTTAGTATTCATTGAATTTTGCACATAAAGTGCTTCAGGTATTTAATTTAAAATGATGAGAATTAAAAAGCTTTGAGATTTATAATTGTGGGAGTAAACTTTCACAGACCAAATATGTTTTCACTTTTCTAATAGAAATTTTGTAATTAAATACAGTTTATGCTAAGTAACTATGATACTAATGGAAGAACATATTTGTTTTTAGATTAAGGATAGCTGCAGAATCTTTATTAACAAGTGAAGGTATAATTTGTATTTGTATTATCAGAAAAACAACTCCAGTTATCAATTTACCTACTAGGAAAATAATTAAATGCCTAAATGCAATAAAGTAAAACAAAAAACAAAAAACGATTCTGCCTTTAATTTGCATTAATATAATTGTACTCCATGGCTCACTTATCAAATTATTCCTCTTTACTGTTACACATTAATAACAGCACATAATCACTATACCTTCCAAAAATTTCTAGGCTTTAATATTCAGAGAAACTATGTAAGAGAACTCATTGTTTAGGTGGGGGGAGGAGGAGTCCTATTGATATACTGTGTAGATTTTTTTTTAGAGCTATTCACTGTACAACTAATATTTAATTTGGACAACTAATATTTATACTTTCTTTTGGATTTTAAAATTGTCCACAAAATTAAATCAAGCAAAAGAATAAGAACTCCTTGCCGAAACCGGTTTGGCTCAATGGATAGAGCGTCGGCTTGGGGACTGAAAGGTGCCGGGTTTGATTCCGGTCAAGGGCATGTACCTTGGTTGCGGGCATAACCCCAGTAGGGAGTGTGCAAGAGGCAGCCAATCGATGATTCTCTCTCATCGATGTTTCTAACTCTCTATCTCTCTCCCTTCCTCTCTGTAAAAAATCAATAAAATATATATTAAAAAAAAAAAAAAGAATAAGAACTCCAGAGAGCACAAGTCTCAGAGTGGGCTGATAAAAAAGCAGTTCCAATTCATTTATTAAGATACTAGAGGCCCGGTGCACAAAATTCATGCATGGGTGGAGGGTGTCCCTTTGCCTGGGCTGCATCCTCTTCAATCTGGGACCCCTCAGGGGTTGTCTGACTGCCAGGTTTTAGGGGAATTAACTCCAGTCATTAGGAAAATAACACAGAATGTCCCTGACATAAAAACAGTGTGGTTTTATGAGCTGTTTTAATAATAACGACCATTCATTTAAATATCTGCTTACATACAATACAGCTGATACCATGTGAATTCAGAATGTTAATATCACAAAGTCATAGAAGACTGTAGTGGAAATAACCTTGAATTGTCTAGTCCAAGCTTTTATAAATATTGAAATTCCCATTTCAAAGATTTTGAATGCTTTTTGTCCTAAGAAGCTTAACCAACTTTTGAGGCAACCCATTTCCTGTGAAAGGACTGGAGGACTCTTGCGGGGCTGAAGTAACTGGGCATCGCCAGTTTGTGGCTATGGGCGCACCATCTTTGTGATGGTGTGATGGTCAATTTGCATACCCCCTCTTTCTTAGATAGAATTAGCCCATGATTGGGTACAAAACTTTTTATGAGTCCTCACTGCTTAAAGAATAGTTCTAAATCTAAAATTCTTTAAAATCAAATTCAATAAAACATTTTTAAGAAAAAATCCCACTGTCACACCAATAAAATAAAATACTTTAAAAACTGGGTAAATCTTTTTCTGTTAATTTCTTATAACACATTCCTATTCAACATAATCTCTTATCACATTAACCTCATCTCAGTTCTTTCTACACATTATGTACTTACACTATGTACTTTTATTTCTTCTGCTTTATTCAGGGTACTTCATCTTTATGAAGTGCAAATTTTCCTCTTTTCTGGCCTGATCATTCTGCAAAGATCCTAGTCTTCATTAAGTTCTTCATGTGCTCCAAAGTTTTCTTTCTTTCTGTATTATCAGTATTTTCACTTTTATACCCTTATTGCCCAAAACAAGTCATATGGCTAAGCTTGATATAAATGAGGTACAAATATATTCTCTCGATTAGGATGTTAAATATTTATAAACAAAAAGACAATCTACCACAGTCTGCTCTTCCTGATTGCAATCATTCCAATCTTTTTTTCTTCCTGTGTCAAAATATCATCCCCCTCCTCACGAAAAGAGATAACCAAAAAGTATTATTTATCATTATTGCCAGCTCAAGTCCTATGATCTCTGAGCCATGCTGTAGTCTCTGTGTTTGTTTTGGGTATGCCTTCTCTTGATCTGGAGAGCTTTGAAGTAACAAAGTCAAGTTAATTGCCCTCAGAACATGCAACATGCAATGGTGAAACAGAGATTGGAAAACCATACAATGAATGATCCTGTTCACAAAGAGAAAGACAGAGAGGCATACACTGGTCCTGAAATCTTGCAAGGTAGAAGTTGCTGCTGACTGGAGGTGGAGAACATTCTTTGCTTAGGCCCCAATTCTGCCATCTGGGGATTTGTTCTAATCCACTCTTCCCCGTGGCTCCTGTCTCCCTCTCTGGGAAGTCTTGTCTTAGATACACTAAAGAGGAAATTACAGAATAGCACTTTCATGGGAGATAAGCACATCTCTCAACCTGCTTCTCATCTCCAGAGATTGAGGAGTCCAAGAGTCTTTACACATCCACAACAGTCAGAGGCTCTTTATTCCAAGGCTGATGTTCCTTTAGCAGAAACACCACTTCTCTTTTATTTGATTCCAGGAAACTCAATCCATCAAAGGCCATACAATTCTTTTTGGAAATACTAGTACCTCTTTCTTCCTCTAGATTTAATTTCAGTCACTTTGATCCGATCAGGCTTTGGTGAGAGAGCTACACCTTTATCTATGACTTTCATATTGTTCCGTTGAGAGAATTTACTGAGACACCTTAACTTACTGACCTGTTTCCACAAAGGTGTGTTGGCTACATTCTTGAGTGAATCATGACCTTGAGGTTGGAATTGACCTTTTTGGTCAAACACCTCACTTTTATCTTAAGCAGCTAGATGTGAGAATCCACCCTCCAACTAGGCAAGTCTACAAAGTACCAGGTGCTCTATTCCCTGTCAGTACAGCTTGCAAACTAACAATTACCTTTTCTCAACTATCGCTAATAACCTACCCATGCTGCTAACATACCCCCTAGGGGGCCTACCATTTCACTGAAAACTAGAAGTTCATCAGAAACATGGATTGTAATGGGCTTTCCAACATTTTTGGACCTTCCCGCTACCACTACCCTCAGCTCCTCAGAAGTCCTCTCTAGCTTCAGACCCTTAACAACCTAGGAATGTGGCCGGCAAACTGTGACTAGTGAGCCACGTGCGGCTCTTTGGCCCCTGAAGTGTGGCTCTTCCACAAACTACCACGGCCTATTTTGAAGAAGTCTATTTTGAAGAACTGGCGTTAGAAGAAGTTTACGATTTAAAAAATTGGTTCTCAAAAGAAATTTCAATCGTTGTACAATGTTCATAGTTGGCTCTGTGGACTAAGGAGTTTGCCGACCACTGGTCTAGGACCTCTGTTCTGTCCACCTGCATCCTTGTTTCCAGTCGATTTAACATCTACTTCTCCTTCAGGTCTAACGTTACCTTTTCGGAGGAACATTTTCCTATTCTTTCCACACCCAATTACTTGTGCGATCCTTTCCTTCATGATTCACTTCAGATGATCCCTAGTATCCCTAAAATCTGACCCATGGAAGGCTTTTGGGTTAAAAAAATAAAGAGAGGGCCGAAACCGGTTTGGCTCAGCGGTAGAGCGTCGGTCTGCGGACTGAAAGGTCCCAGGTTCGATTCTGGTCAAGGGCATGTACATTGGTTGTGGGCACATCCCGGGTAGGGGGTGTGCAAGAGGCAGCTGGCCGATGTTTCTCTCTCATTGAGGTCTCTAGCTCTCTAGCTCTGTCCCTTCCTCTCTGTAAAAAATCAATAAAATATATTTAAAAAAATAAATAAAATAAAGAGAGAAATAAACGAAATTGCACTGGGATGGTAGGAAAGGATGTGTAGGGCACGATCACTGAAAACACATTTAAGAATACAATGTTGGGCCCAGGGAGAGGGCAGTGTCAAAGGTCCTATGGTGTTGACCATTCATTGAGGTCCCTCTGGGACCTGCGGGTTGAGAGCTCCCACTGACAGGACGATCTTCACGGCCTTCCCAGCGTTTAACCTCCGCCCGAAATTGACAGGAAGCAGCTGCAGTGTTTTTAAACCACAGTCCCTGACCTCAGCCGCAAGAGACGCGACCTGCCCTGCAGGCGCCCGGCGCTCAGCGGCTGCAGGCGCCGCGCCGCTCCCTCGGCGGCCGCCGCGGCCTCCCGGCGCGCGCCCCGCACGCGCGTCCCCAGAGCCTCGGCGCGCGGACCCGGCGGCGGGCGCCGCGCGAGAGGGCCCCGCGGCCTGGGCGCGCGCAGGTCCGTCCCCGGCCTCCTCCTTCTCTTCACGCGCGGCTTCCTGAGAAAGTGCCTGTCTAGTCGATACAAGTGTCCCAGTTTTTTACGGAAAGCAATCACCCTCCGGGAACATACATGGCACAGGCAAAAGAATGCTTTCCTTTGAGCGGACGCTGAAGGTCTGTTCCGTTTAGAGCAGCCGCGATGGGCGCTGGGGGGGAGTCAGGCACTGTTCTGGACAGCCGCATCCGGGCCTCCTGCCGCAGGGTGCCCTCCGAGCCAGGGGTCCTTCAGGTAGGAGGTCCTGGGTGACTTTGGGCGTCCGCTCCTCCTAGGTGCACTGAGTCCCGGCTGCCGGCGTTGCTCGTTTGTGTTCTCCCTGCTTCCGTGCCCTCCGCCGCCACCATGCTCCGCCAGATCCTCAACCAGGCCAAGAAGCATCCCAGCGTAAGTTCGCGACCCCTTCCTCGTGGCCTGCCCTGTGTGGGGCTGCGGCTGCCTCCGTCCCTGGCAGCTTCCTCCCTGATGGCCCCCTTCGCTCCCGGAGGCTGGACCTGGCCTCCCTTTGCCCTGTCCTGCTGGTCACTCCGGGCCCTTGGTCTCTGACCTTTCCACGCTTTGCATTGTGGGTTTTTTTTGTTGCGGGGGGGGGGGGGGGGGGAAGGTGCTGGCCGGCTGAAGGTGAAGGATACCTTGGAGGAAAGTAAAGGAGTGAGTGCTGGAATGAGCTGGCGGCCCCGCCCTCTGGCAGGTGGCAGGGACCGAGAGGGATGGAGTGTGCTGTGTGCATTAGAGGCCAGTGAAGCTCAGGTTGTCACCCGCTGTTTTGTGTGCGCTCCCTGAAGGAGCTTGTACACACTGCATTGCGCCGCCACCAGGCCTTGTGGGCCTGGGATCTTGGAATCCTCAGTTTGTCTGGGCGCCTTGACGTTTGGGGGAGTTGGATGACGGCAGAGTTTAATTGCAGTTCAGTTATTTTGCATCTCATTCCCCGCCCCATCTCCCCCGCACCTCAACGTACTATGATTTAAAAACTCAATTACTACGCTGTCTTTTCATCGTTACCCTAAATCCAGTTGGTAGCAGTATGTTTTCAGAGGCTGTGCCTTAAAAACTAATGTTTGTATGGGTGTGCTGCTGCTTGCTCATTCCGGCTGTTTAGTGAGTCTTTCATAACATATATCGATATATCGAGGCAAGCTTAAGTAACCTGTCAAGAGCTTGTTTTTCAAGCTGGGAAATTTATTAGGAATGATGAGGTATAAAGAGGTGACGTAGACCCCATGTTTTTAAACACAGAATTGAAAAGTAGCCATTTGAAATCTGGGAATCGACATGTAGAATCAACGGTAGCCTTTCCATTTTCCGTGTCCAGGTATTTGAAGATGACTGTTAATTCTTGTCTCTTTTGTGTTTGATTCTAGTTGATCCCCCTCTTCATATTTATCGGAGCCGGGGGTACTGGAGCAGCGCTGTATGTCACACGGCTGGCATTGTTCAATCCAGATGTCTGGTAAGCACTTAAAAACGTTTGGAACTTGGTTGGTTTATTCATCTGGTTTAGGAGCCACAGGCTTTCTGGGGAGGCAGCCTGAAGTAATAGAAGGAACCTGAGTTGTGTAGCCAACAAAACTCAGTTCAGATCCCAGTTCTGCAGTTGTAATTTTCTTGATACATGAGATCATCTAAATTTCTCTGAGTCTCATTTTCTCGTTGGTAGATAAGAACTGCTAATACCTATCTTAATATAAAGATTGAGATAATTGTTTCTGTAAGATGCTTAATCAGGGTTGCTGGTACATGTAAATGCTTTTTGCTTTCCCACAATAACATGGTGTTTCTGTTTTTGTTTTTTGGTTGGTTTGTTGAAGTTGGAAAACAACAGGCAAGGAAAAAAAGATGGATTAATTGCTATTTTATGCATTTTGCTATATAACACTTCATTGATGAAATAGGGAACATCCAAGTATAAAGTTTCCTGTGCCAGGGATAGGGAGAAGGACAACTGTCCCAAGAGGCTCTGTGTTTACCTTATATCTAATAGATAATGTGGGATTGTTTATCACAGATCCAGTTACCATTTCAACTTTACAATGAAAACAACACCATACTCCACCTAATAATAAATGGGATCTATTCAGAACATTAGATTTTAAAGAAGTAGGAAACCATTTTAAGTAGTTTTTAATGTTGTAACGATTATAATGTCTTATTTTTTAGTTGGGACAGAAAAAATAACCCAGAACCCTGGAACAAAGTGGCTCCCAATGAGCAATATAAGGTAAGCTACAAAATTGTTTCAGAATTACTGGGAAGTGTGTTTTAGTAAATTTTCTCATGGAGTAGTAGTTTTTGACATTGGATGTGCAACAAAATTTAATTATAAAGAACTTTGAAGAACTGCTAGATTGTTCTGTGAAATTAAAATGGCATGTTTTTCTAATAAGTATTTTTTGCTAAGGATTTTATTCACAGACTGGACTCTGGATGTGAAATTAAAATAATGTCTCAATTCTACTGATTTGATGAAGAAAGAAGAGATAGTATAGCTCTTGTTCACCATTTTCATATCTTCGTCTAGTGTAGTTTTTCTCAAGTTTCAGTGTACATAGGTACCCTCTGGAGAATTTGTGAAAACAGATTCTTTAGCTCCGCCTCCCCTTTTCCCCCTCACCCCTCCAGAGATTCTGATTCAGCTGCTCTGTTGTGGTGAAGGAGAATATTCATTTCTAACAAGGTTTCTGTTGATGCTGACACTGCTGATCCATGAACCACACTTTGAGTAGCACTAATCTAGTGGAAATTTTCATTAGCTTTTCTTCCTTGTTGGTGTGGTTGAAATATTTCATGTGAAGATTAGTAGGAATTTTTAGAAGTCAGTTGAAATTGAAATTTTACCATGAACCTTCTAGATAAACTTAACATTTTTTCTGAAGAGTGGTCTAAAGAATGATTTCATGGACTGAGACCATTTACTTAGTTTTTTGAGATATAATTGACATAATGTCGTGTAAGTTTGTACATGTTAATTTGATGCATTGATATATTGCAATATGATTACTACAGTAGCGTTAACTAACACTTTTATGACATCATGAAATTATCATTTTTTCTTTTGCGTTGAGAACAATTAAGATCTAGTTTCCTAGCAGCTTTGAAATTTATAAGATAGTTGACTGTAATCACTATTTTGAACCTTTGGTCTCCAGAACTTACTACTAGTTTCAAGTTTATACTCTTAAACATCTTTCAGATCTTCCACCTTTTAGAGACCACCATTCTACTCTGTTTTTATATGTTTAGTTTTTTAGGTCTCACACGTAAATGATATCATATAGTATTTGTTTTTCTCTGACTTATCTCAGTATAATGCCCTCAGGGTCCATATGTCCTTGCAAATCTGAGACCATTTATTGTTTCCCCAAACATAATCTTCCTTATGTGTAAAATTTTTGTATATAAAACAAATCCTCGCAATGTCAAAATAACAAAATGGAAAGCCCAACAGCTTTATTAGGGTATAATTTTAATACCATACAATTTACCTATTTAAACTATATAACTCACCCATGCACTTTCTGCTATATCAGACTGCTTCATCAAAAGAGAAATAGCAGTTTACTTAAGCATTTTTAAGAAGAGGTACTCTTGACCAGTGTGTGTCTAAAACCCCTTAGGAGATAAACCTCCCTATGGAGGTGACACTATCATTACTGATAGCAGCAATCTTTAAGCTAATTATCACCCTTTGCCGATTCTAAGTTTTGTACTCAGCCTTCAGATTATAATTTGGCTTCCAAATCTCTTAAAAAGATCTCCCTTCAAGGAACAAATAAGAATGCATCCATGGAGCTGAAGTGAGCCATCTGATCTGTGTGTTACATTTTGCCTCAATAAAATGATAAACAGGCATCATGTTTTATTTTTCTCTCTTAGAATTGTTTAAATCAAGTCCATTCTAGAGGAAATTGTGTCATACTCAATAAAGTTTAAAAAAGAAAACAAAAAAACTCAGGTATTGATTCTTCCACCAAAGAATATATTGGAGTCTCTGGGTATGTGTAGTTCATGAAGCTCCCCAGGTGATTCTGATAATGAAGCCAGTTGCCAATGTTCTGGGACACGATAACACATGCCACTATGAGGCCATGTAAGCTTGGAAGTGGAATGTTGCTACAACAGAAAGCTAATGTGTGTAGCATAGATGGGCTGTGAGTAGCTGTGACACTGATACTAAAAACTTGAAAGATGAGTCATATAATGGCAAAATATTTGGTAAAGTGTCACCTGCTGTACTTGGAAGGTGGACTACGTACCTGAAGAGCAGCAATAGAAAGAAATTTTGGAAAACAGGATATTAGTGGTCCACAATTGCTAACTATATTTGCCAAGAGATGAGCATGTAGAAGAATAGAATGATTTGCAAGAATAAATAAAAGGGAACCAGTCCAGAAACTGGTAAGCTGAGAATGAACAAAGCCTACTACTGTTTCTAAACCCAAACAGTGAGGTAGACTAGATTATTCTGTCATTCACTGCCCTTCACCTAAGAGAATTTGTTTTTCTGGTGCACCTATAATACATTAGGGTTGGCAACATGACTTGCTTTGGCAAATCATAAGTGAGGGACAGTGTGATATCTGCCACTTCTGAACCAGTGTGTGGTTGCTCCCATTGTTATTTTCCATTTATCATGAAACCACAGTTGACAGCTAAGATTACTAGGATTTAAATGAGAAGAACATTGGGGCAGTCAGTTTCTAAGTGATATGAAATGTGAGGGATTTAAAATAAACCATTATTGTTACAAACCACTGGTTATTTGTTCCACTTTACAATCTAGCAAAAGCTAACTAATACAAACCAGAGAGGGTACTAAAATGGGATTTACGCATCAAAGGCCCAGCAACGCTTCAGTTGAATAAAACAGCCAAAACAGAGATCAGAATACATTGTGCCTTCCCAACTGTTTCAAAGACCTTCAAGGTAGCCACCATTAAATTGAGAAAAAGAATGGCGACATGGAAGCAGAAAAATAAGCAGACTTGAAGACTTACTGCAACAAAATTTTGATACTAGCATATGGAACCAAATAGAAGCCTGCTTAGTTTTGAGGAAATTGGCAGCAATACCGTCAACTTTCCACTCTGCATGGGTATGGGAGCTTGATCCTGCTTAATATATATCCTGCAGTTCCTTTTATAAATATTCTGTAATATTTTGTTAGGGATAGCACAACTTTGTTTAACTCATTATTTCAGTTCAATTGCTTTATAAGAGAATATGTCAAAATAAAGAAAACTTGTTAGGGCTCATTCATACTTTTATGTCTCTCAAGAAAAAGCTTTACTACATGGGATTTTTTTATTTTTTTATTTAAAGAAGTCAAAAGTTAGATTAAAAAAAGATAAGATATGTTTGGAGAAATAAAGCAAAGAGCTTGAAGAAATAATGGATACAGATTCATGAGCTTCTTGCTTAAAATCCCTGAAGAATATGTTAGTAATTTTGTAATTTTGGTTTTCCTGGGATTTATGTAGTCTTCAAGTAATTATAGCACAACTCTTCAGTGTTTTTGGCACAAGAATGAGTAAACTCAAGGTTATAGCCTTTCTTTGGCTTACTTACAAATTCTAATGTTTACTCAGTGTGGAGCAGTTGACAACTAGAACCATTAAAAAGAAAAGTTACTGAGAAGCAGGGTTTTTTTTTAAGCAGTCATAGTAAGATTTCTAAAATTAATTGAATATAAAATTTTCAAGTATACAATATTATTTAAATACAGTAGTATTTAAAAGGAAAAACACAGACCTATTTAAAAGTTTTTATACCAGAGGTAGTCAGGGGTCTTTTTGATATTGATGCATCTGGGTTAGGAAACTAATAGGAAAAAAAGCCATCAAGGCAAATCAATTTCTGTTGAAAAAGTTATGTAAACCATACAACAAAACATTACCATATGACTAGTTTATCTTGGTTGCTATGAATCTCTCCTATCTTAACTTACAAACCTACTTTGCTAACCAAAGTAGGGATGATGATGCTTAGTATCCTTCTGTATACTTCATGGATATGGAAGTAAAAATTTAAGAATTGGAAGTATGTATCATAAGGAATTCTTATCTCTTAGGAAACAATTTCTTATGGCGTCTGAATAACAGGTTATACTAATACTGCTCTTCTGTGGTAGACTGAATATTTTGACCTTACAAAATCGTCATTAAAGAACTGGAGTTTTGGTGTCTTTGAATGACTTACACATTATTAAGGAGGGGATGGGATGGAGCAGGGAACGGGGTAGAGGGGTCAGTGGGGGGGGGGGGGGGGATCTGTAATACTTTGAACAATAAAGTTAAATTTAAAAACATTCTTAAGAAAAAAATCATGTATGTTATCTTTACTATAGAAAGCTGAATAAGAATAATTCTAAAACTTCTGTACCATCTCTGTGTATTTGATAATTATGTAAAATACCTTTTTTCTTTTTCAAGTTCTACGCAGTGAATGTAGATTACAGCAAACTGAAGAAAGAAGGTCCAGACTTCTAAATGAATGTTTCACTATAAAGCTGCTTAAAATGAAGGTCTTCCAGAGCCATCCGCACAATTTTCCACTTAACCAGGAAATATTTCCCCTTCCAAATGCACAAAATCATGTTGGTGTATTGTGTTGGGGTTTACACTGATCAATAAATATTTGAAACTTGATAAGTCTCACTATTTTATTGTTAACCCTCACCCAACGATATTTTTTTCCATTGATTTTTAGAGAGATTGGAGAGAGAGAGAAACATCAATTGGTTGCCTCCTACACACATCCTGATTAGGGCAGGGGATCGAGCCCACAACCAAGGTACCGTACCTCCATTGCTGGGCCAATGCTCTAACCACTGAGCAACTGGCTAGGGCTGTCTCGCTATTTAATGCTGAAAATGTTCTCTGAATTTTATTACTAGGGTATGGGAAATAAATATTAGAATTGAAGGGATTTCTTGAGTTTGTATATCCTATATAATAAAGAGCTAATATGCTAATTAGATTAAACAGAAGGACTGTCCAGATGATTGTCTGGACGAAGTCGGTGCTGCAAGGGCCAGGGCAAGCCCCTTTTATGAATTTTGTGCCTTGAGCCTCTAGTATGTGTATAATTTGAAAAGAAGACTTTAAGTTGCTCAATAAAACATTTTTATTTTGTGTTTAGGCCATAACTTCACAAGAGCATAATAACTGCAACTGGAAGTTATACAAAGGCAGATCGAGAAAAATATTTACATTTTTTTGGCAAAGTGGAAACTTCTGTACATCTACATCGGCTGATATCTAAGCTGTGCAATTGTTAATGTTTACCATAGCATTCTCTGCTGAAGATTTTCAAGGTTATTAGTCACTGTAGTCTAACGGGATTTTAGTTGTATCTGAGCCTATCACTGCTAACCATGGAGCTAGTGGCCAAGAACAGATCCTGGGAATTTCTGTTGACTCTTGGAAGGTTTTCAAAAGCCAGGAAGTGTATTAGTAGTAATTTTCAGGTGGGGAAAATGTACAAGAGTTATCTTTTTCAAATTGGGCGAATCGGAATTCAGTTGAAGAAAATGTTACTATGTATATTGACATTACCTGTTAAGTGGCTTAGACCTTTTAGCCAAGTCTGAAATTATCCAATGAGCAGGACATTTCAATGGTGGTTATTCCAAGAATTAACCGTATTTTATATATGAAATTTTCAAATAGGTGTGTGTTTGTGAGTCATTATATCATAGAACATCTTTGGATTTTACTATATAAACTAGTAGCCCTGCACACAAATCTGTACGCCTGTTGCTCACTGCCACCTTCCAGTAACTGCCCACAGTCCCACCCTCCTGTAGCTCCCCCCAACACCCTCCCTTTTACTTTTCCCTCCTTAGTTTGCTCCTCTGCCTCCCATAGCTCTCTGCTACCAGCTTGTAGCTTGCTGCCCCACCTTCTTGCTGATTCGTGATCTGGTCTTATGCGTGGAGTAACGACCATTTGCATATTACATCTTTATTATATAGGATATTTTGTTAGTAAAAGCACATTGTATATGTCAGGAACTAAATGTTTGAATTAACATGGATTATCTCAAATACACTTTTATTTTTAAAGTTAAGAAAACTAGGATGTGGGTGAATTAAATTGCTTCTCATTCAAATGTGGATATTTGAACCTAGGTAGTCTTGAATCTACAGTGTAGAGTACATTTCAGTTAATTTAAGCTCTTATGTCTCTTGCACAATTTCAGCCCCTAGAACATAGTTTCTTAACCTTGCTTATTAAATCAGTTCATGTTTTCTCTATGTCCAAAATATATCTAGAATATCACTATTTTCAACACACAATTTCTCTATCATCACCTTGGTCTTAAGCTATTAACCAGGATTGTTAAAACAATCTGTTAGCTGATCTCCCTGTATACAATATGTTATCAACACAGTAGCCAAAATGATCTTTAATACATAAGTCCCAATATGACATTTCTTTCCTTAAAACCCACCAACATTTCTCCGTTACATGTTATTTTTCGAACTATAAGATAAAGTTTTTATTTTTTTATTTTAATTTTTATTGATTTCAGAGAGTAGGGAGGAGAGAGGAGAGAGAGAGAGAGAGAGAGAGAGAGAGAGAGAGAGAGAGAGAGAGAGAGAGAGAGAGAAACATCAATGATGAGAGATAATCATTGATCTGCTGTCTGCTGCCTCTTGCCCGCCCCATACTGGGGATTGAACTGCAACCAGGCATGTGCCCTTGACCAGAAGCCAATTGGGACCCTTCAGTCCATAGGCCAACGCTCTGTCCACTGAACCAAACCAGCCAGGGTGAGAAAGTTTATTTAGAAAGTCACAGAGTTGAAGTGATCCCTAGAAGAAACAGGTTTAGAAAACAAATTACAGAGGCAAAAGAAGAGGCCCTTGGAGCTTAGGAGAGAGAGGGTAAAGGTAACCCGCCTACAGGGAAGAGGAGGAGAATAGGAAAGGTGGTGTGTTCCAGGAGGGAGAGCACCAACATTTCCCCCTTTTAATCAATAAACTTTCTACTCCACTTTGTACTGTCCTCAACTTGGTCACACACCTCAACTGACTGGATTTCCTTAATCTTTCACAAACAGGAGCATATTCATGTCTCACGGCTTTGCCCTTGCCTGGCTTGGAATTCTCTTCCCCAAGTATTATTGGCACGACTCACTCATAAGTATTTTTCTAGTTTTTCCTCCAATGATGCCTTCCATGTCCAAAAGTGCACATCCTACTTCACCCTCATTACTTTTTATCTGCTTTCCCTTCTTTGTTTTTTCACCTTAGTACTTACTACCATCCATCAAAATCTTGATGAATCATTTTGTGAATATCGACAAAGTGATTCTAAAATTTATATGGAGATGGAAAAAGACCCAGAAAAGCCAACACAATATTGAAAGAGAAGAACAAAGTTGGAACACTAACACTATCTATCTTCAATACTTACTATAAGCTACAGTAATCAAGACAGTGTGGTACTGGCAAAATAGCAAATAAATAGATTAATGGAATGGACTAGAGAGCCCCCCCCAAAGTTGCATGCTGTTGAAAAACAACATAATGGATTTCTTATAAAACTAAACATACTCTTACATAAAATCAAGCAATTGTGCTTCGTGGTATAATATTTACACAAAGGTGCTGAAAACTTGTGCCCCCACAAAACTTTACATGGGTGCTTATTGCAGCTTTATTCTTAATTTTCAAAACTGGAAGCCAGCAAGATGTCTTTCAGTAGGTGAATGGACAAATAAATTGTGGTACATCCAGACAATTGAATACTATTTAGCACTATCAAGCCATGAAAAGACTTGGAGGAACCTTGAAGACATATTACTAAGTGGAAGAATCCAATTTGAAAAGGCTTCATACCATATGGTTCTGACTATCTAACATTCTGGAAAAGGCAAAATTATGGAGATAGTGAAAAGTTCAGTTGTTGTCAGTTAGTTGGGGACTGAGTGGCACAGGGTTGAGTAAAAAATAAAATCATAATAGAAGAGAAGGTTAAAAATTGTTTAGGATGTGAATTACAAACAATCGGCAATTCTTTTCTCCCTTGGACCTCTAATAACACATTACCATCTATAATATTATAATAAAAGCTTAATATGCTAATTAGACCCAATGAAGCTGGGGCTGTGAGGGAAGCCCGGGTCCTGGGTGCCAGAGAAAAGCTGGTGCTGGCAGCCAGGGGAAGGAAGGCCTACTCTTACACAAATTTAGTGCATTGGGCCTCTAGTAGCTTTACTATTTATGATGGCTACAAAAGCTTTATGCATAAATCTACTTCCTCATTTCACATGTATTGAGGACAGCACTGAAGTTTTCTGTGTATCTATGAGAACAGGGCCTACTTATGTCTGGTTTGCTCATCATTATATATCTCTAGGGCCTGAAAGTGTCTACAATTAATAGGCCCACAAGTATTCATTGATTCAATACTTAGAACATAATGTGATTGCAGAGGGTTTTTGATTTATAGACACTTTCTCAGTATAATTTAATTTATAGAAGGTAGCTGAGTTTTGAATAAATGTTTAGAATAAAAAATGCAAATGCTTACAGGTTATTAAAATGAAAATAAAATTCAGTGAAATGTTTTTTTATAAACACTGAAGAGATCATATATAAAACAGTGTTAAAATAACTTGAAAAATCCTAATTAGTGGGAATTGTTTACCATGTTGACAGCTTATATGACATTTCTAGATTGAAAATCTTAATTTGAATTACTTTAGAAAAATAATGTATATAGGCATTTGTAGTTTATCATTATAAAATGGTGATATACCCCCACTTTTTTATTATCCTACAGTGCTTAACAGTCATGAGTAAATTTATAAACTTGTTTTTCATATTGAAGCAAAATGACTATGAGCATGAGATGCCCTCTTCTTTTTTTGTTTTGTTTTGTTAATTCTCATCTGAAGATATATATATATTTTAAGACATTTTCTGTTTTTTTTTCTTTTTTAAAAAATATATTTTTTATTGATTTTTTTACAGAGAGAAAGAGAGAGGGATAGAGAGTTAGAAACATCGATGAGAGAGAATCATCGACCAACTGCCTCTTGCACACCTCCTACTGGGGATGTGCCTGCAACCAATGTACATGCCCTTGACCGGAATCGAACCTGGGACCTTTCAGTCCGCAGGTCGATGCTCTATTCACTGAGCCAAACCGGTTTTGGCTCATCTGGAGATATTTTTACTATTGATTTTTAGAAAGAGTGGAAGAGAGAGATAGAGACACAGAGAGAGAAACATCGATGTGAGAGAGACACATTGATTGATTGCCTTCCGCATGTGCCTCTACCAGCTGGGCATCCAGCCTGCAGCTGAGGTACTTGCCCTTAACCAGCATCGAATCTAGCAGCGTTCAGTCCATGGGCTGATGCTCTATTCACTGAGCCAAACCCCCTAGGACAGTGCCCTCTTCTAGTTTCCTTACTGCAGACAAAAAATGCAGAAGGCCTAATAATTAATGAGAATAAATTACTCCATGGAGAAATAACAACTAGATGCCTATTATTAATTTTTAGGTCCATAAACAAATAAGAATATAAGATCATATTACTTGGTCAGTATTGTTACAAAAATTATTTTAATTCTAGTTTTGAATTTAACTTTCAAATAAATATAACATGGGGGTTCAAATAAATATTGTTT